CTGTGAGTTTGCAGCCTTTCAGCCTCATTAATTACATCTGATTGTTGGGACATCTCAAATACAGAATCAAAATAATTCTAATAAGTTTCCTAACTCCTGTGGCCCTTCAGTCCAGCACTGCCTCTCTGAAGGGAGTCACTGTTAGGACTTGCATGGCAGAGGGAGTGAAGCAAATCTAAACAGTTCAACCAATGTACAGCACAGCCTTTCTGCTGGGCCAGAGATATTAATTGAAATCAAAAGTTGGTGATTTAATCAAAAGTGTATGTTTCTGCAATCTCCCTTTACATTTGCAACGTTGAGGCTTGAACATCTGAAAGTGGTTTTATGAAAATGGCATGAAGTAAACACACTTTTAATTTTTTCATGGAAACAGTGGATAGATTGGATATTTGATCTGCCATTTGCATGCTGGTTCTGGTTTTTCATTATAAAACATAAAATGTATATATGCACATATAGTTTTAACATGCCTGTGACAAAATCTCTCATCCAGCAACATTTGTGAAGTGTGTGCAATAGAGCTACGAATGCACCTCAGAGGCAAATAACAATTGCAAATATGCAACACAGAGAGATGACTTTTAAAGTATTATTACAAGATTCCTGTTGAATTCCTTTCTTTAATCAGGATGGTAGTGGTATTTACTGGCTCTGAAATTCCCAGGGAGTGGGAAGAATTTTCATCATAAATGGGTGTAGTGTTCTGCAGATGTACAAAGCAACCAGAGCCCTTTTGAAAGACCGAGACTAAGGACGGTGTGCACACGTGTAAGTAACTTGAAATATTTCTGTATACAGAAGAAAGGTGAATATCTTGATTTTGATAAGACTTGATAGAAGTAGATGTAAATAGGAACACAATGTTTCTCTTTAGAATAAAAACAAGGAGAAAAAAATTTGAGCTGTAGCCAACAGCCTTGCTTCAAGAGTGGACTTCTTTTCCTGCCTTGGTCATTCAAACTCTGTGGGTTTTGGTGTGGTTTGGCTTTGTTTAGGTATTGGTTGTGGGTTTCTTTGGTAGTTTTTTGCTTGCACTTTTTGGTTTGTGTGTGTTTGTGTTGTTCTTTCAGTACCAAATATTTCGATTGCGTTAAATATGTCTGATCTGAGTTTTGTACAGATTACTTTTTGGTTTGTTATTTCTAGATGATCATTTATGAAGAAAAAACCCCCACACCTAAACCAGTGAAAAACATAAAAAGCATTAAGGGTTCTGACAGTGAAATACTGTCTGTCTTTCCCCGGTGCTTATGTGAAATGATCTGGCAAAACAGATACTGAAGAAATAATGTATTTTTTGTGGGCTTTCTCAAATGATAAATGTTCTTGTCTCTTTAGAGAATTTCTTACCAAATGCTGATTTTTGCAAGCAGACAGAATCAGTGTTTCAAGTATTTTTTTTAATAATGCAGCAAATCAGAACTTGTATCTGCTTCATCTTCTAGAAAATTGGAAATTCAATTATCAGAAGAAATTTCCAACTATGACTCTAATATTTCATACACTTTTTTAAGCAAGTCAATTGTTTATAGCAAAGTTGGAGCTATTTTCTCGCCTTTTAATAACAGTACACATGTATTACTGCCTATGCTGCAAATGATGAGAATAATCAGTATCTCTTAATGAAGTAAAATTAGGGAATATTGAAAAAACCTAAGGGCTGAATTTTTTTTTTTAATAAAACAACAACTTTATCATCAGCTTCATTATTTTTACAGAGAGGGAAATGGCAAATTAAAGCATTGCTTGTATGATTGTATGCACTGCTTCATAGTAGCAGTACAACAAGGTACTTTGCAAATCTGGACTTTAAAAGCGAGCCTGGCCCAAAAGCTTGATTGTTTTCACCACTCATTTTCCTTTACTGGAACAATAGTGCCATGCTGCTTTCTCATTATGACGTAAAAACAAAATAATTTCATTTAAAAACAAATTCAAATTTATTTCAAAGGGAACCGTGTCTTTGCTGTTTTAATTTCTTGAAACTAAACCCAAATTTAATATGTAAAAATTTAGTGGTGGAGAAAGGATGAGGGCCTGGAGGTCACACAGCCTCTGAAGGGAAGGGAAGAGAATGCAGTGTTAATGATGGCCTTTGTTGTGTTTTTATTGTGGTTTGGTGTTTTTTCACTATCCGGAGTGATTCAGGTTTCTTGCATTGATAGTTGTTATAAAATCAGGTTCTTTATAGATGGAATCTAAATCCTCAGCATCCTGCAGTGAGCACTGGGAGCAGGGACACAGACACTCAGGTCAGGCTGGCACCTCTCCCCTCCAGGCACCAGGGAGCAAAAACAGCTGGAAAGTTTTTCAAACCACATAATTTTCCTGTTTTGGAACCTTCCAATGATGGCTGAAAAAATGCTAGAAGTGCTTTTTCATGGCAATGGTATTCTGAATATGAAACACATATTACATGAACCTCTTGGTTTCCAGGGTCTTGCAGACCAAGTCAGCTCTCCTGGTTTTGTTTTTTGTTGCAAATGGTGTTGAAGGTTTCCAGCAACTGAGTAGACTTGCACCATGCAAAATGTGGGGTCTTTTCAAATAGAGCTGAAATAATATCTTCTGTTTCTTCCAGTTTATTCTTTTGTGTTGGAACTTTGGCATTTGAACTATGAAAAAATGCGTTTATTTACTATGAACTGCCATAATTATAAGATCATAAATTATCAGTTAAGAAATCATTCACATCTATTATGAGTGCAAGATATTTTTAGTTTTCAAAAGCACCAGTTACTCAACACTGAGAAGTGTGGCTTTTTAATATGCTTTCACAAGAGCCTGACAGACCATGTGGTGAGATTCCGTGTGCCTAGAAAACGTTGTGGATTTCAGCAGGACCATTCAGTTTTCAGGCAACTGCAGTAAATAATTGTCTGGCTTTCTTCACTCGATGGCAAAGCTTAAATCAATAAATCTGATGGCCTGAAAGCTGTCTCTTCAAGTGATGCATTTTAGAATACGTTCTAAAAACTCAAAGGTCAAGTCTAAAGGAAACATTTTTATCAGGAGGTGATGTGTTGAACATCATCTGTGCAGCTGGAAATATGTGATTCAAATTTGTACTTGATTGGTTTTAAATTCTCCAAAGCTTCTAATCCTGTGGGATGTGGACAGACATTGACATCATTAATTAACTGGCAGTGTTTTCAAATGATCAGTGTTTACTGTTCATTTACTGCATTTTAGCATGGTATTTGTTACAATAGCATTTACCTCTCTTGTCTACTGTGTTCTTATATTTTCTCCGGTGAATAAAAAGTATATTTTTCTATTTTAGAAAAATCAGTTTTATCTCTAGTAATGACATAAATGGATTTCAAGGATTTAAATCAGAACTCTGATGATGGTATCTAAGTGCAGATCAAAGGGAAAAAACCCAAATCGCCCTGCTTGCCTTGAGGGAGCAAAATGGAAGGGGTTTGTTTGAGGTTTCTTAGGTTGCTATATTGATATTAAGGTCTCAGACTAGAGATTGATGACAGGTAATAATGTGGAAAAGTGAAATTATTGCTGAAATTACATATATAAAAAAAATTGTCCTAAATATTTACTGACAACTTTGTATTTTTAACTTTGTTCTGAAATTGTCTGCAAATTATGTTTTGTTAAATATTGTGTCATTATCAAAACATTCTCACAAGTTTTTACAGAGAAGTGTAAAGTTTAAAGGAAGTACAAAGTGTCAGTCTACCTTGAAAATTAGTTTTGTTGGGGGAAAGGGGTACAACATGTGCAGATATTCTCTTACCAGCAGTGTCCTTTCTTGCATCACCAGCCAGGACATAACTGGTCCTGACTTATTCACTAGTTTGAACATTTTAATATTCATCCAGGTGCTTTGAACCACTGTTTTTGGTCACCTTATTCTCCATTGTCTCTCTGGAGTTCTATAAGAATCATCATTCTGCAGGCAAATTTTAATGATAATCTTTTTTAATTATACCATTTAATTTTATTCACTTAAATACTGTCGGTTGTCCCAAGAGTCTTCTGTAGAGGTTTGGGAGATATTTTAACAGACAGGGCTCATTGGCAGGAGGCAGGTGTGCCTTCCTTCTCCCTCACTGTGCCATGCAGGTGCAGGTTTGTGGTCAGGTGAAGGGTTTGGTGATGGGCAGTGATTAGTTCGACACAACTGTGCATGTTTTAGAGAGAGAGAAGCAAACCATAGCAAGAGTGGAAGCCAACAATTCTTAGAGTACAGGCTGCAGTGGAATAACATGGGGAAGAAGAATGTCCTCAGCATTAAATTATTTTTAAAAATTAATTTTTACGAAGCTTCCTTATAAATACTGATGAGGAAAAGAAGTATTGATATGCATAAAACAGAGGATAAAAATTGTTTTGAATATATTTTTAGTGCTTAGGCATTCTGAGAGTTACATTGTGAAACAAGGTAATGCTCATCATATTGGATAAAGGATGCTTTGATGCTTGTGTTTGGATGAAGGCTCGTGTTCATGTGCTTTGTTTAGGCTTTTCTTTGCATGAAAGGTTAAGCATGTCTAGATAAGCTTGTAGTGTAAGTACTCCTAATGTAAGCATTGTAAAAAGCTTGTGAAATAGGCATCTACAGGAGGTTCAGCTGAGGAGGAGGAGAAGGATTCAAGGTGCTAAGGCAGGGATTGCCAATCGTATCACTGTTTTTACATGATTTTTGGAGGAGATACAAGGATTCTTTTCTTCCTTTTTTTGGCTCTTGTTTAGTTGTGGGGAAGAGTAATTTAAACATTGTGAAGGGGAGTTATGGTTTTCCTACAGTGCATGAGATAAATATTTCTATTATTTTTTTAAACGGACTTCTGGTTCTAATCCAGTTGTTCTCTCCCCATGACAGCATCTTGGCACAAAGCAGCCTGCTGTCACGCAAATAAACATCAAATAAATGAAGAATGTCAGCAAAAGTGTAATATAAAACGAATAATTAGTTGTCAAAATTTCAGCTAGTTCCCTGGCAGTAACTTTTCCCTGTTTTTCTTTTCTTCTTCCAGAAATACAAAGAATATGAGAAGGATGTTGCAATAGAAGAAATTGATGGCCTTCAGCTTGTGAAAAAGTTAGCAAAGAATATGGAAGAAATGTTTCATAAGAAGTCTGAAGCTGTACGGGTAAGCAGCAGATCAATCTGCTACTTCCTTCTATGATGTAAAACTAAATATGTAGTTTAGGCTCTGCTCTGAAGGCTGTACTAGCAATTAAAGGGCTGAAGTGGAAATGCTAAAGCATTCAGAAGTATTTTAGAATCATTGTTCAAGAAAATAGATTTAAATTATTTATACCATGAATAGATAAATGTAAGAGTGTGCAACGAGATTGGGACTACGAATTTCCAAGATGAGTTTGTAACATATCACTTGTGTGCAGTAAAACCCAAGTGCATGCGGTTAAAATGATAGATTTTAAAATATCCAACCAAGCAAACTTAATTTCAGTGCTCACTATTATAAAAATAGTGTTCCAGGGAAATGTCTGAGTTCAATAACTGTCCTTTAGTTCAGAAAAAGGTGCAAACACTTCAAATGGTAAACACTTTAATTGTGGTAAGTACTAAATCACTCTTCGGGCAGCTTATTAATGATCATTGAATAACTAGAGAGCTCTCTGTAAGTCTGTAAGTTTTTGTGCTTTTTTCTTTTTTTTTTTGCTGTTTTTTCTATCTCCATTCCGATCTTCCTTTTGTAATAGCTTTGGAGTCTACTAGACTTACTAGAAAACCAAGAAAAGGTTCAGAATTTTATGTTTTATTATATCAAAGAGGAGTTTGTTGTAGCACGTGTGTTCTAGAGAGTAACAAATCTTGCTGTTGTAGTTTTCCCTTTGCATTATTCTTTGCTAGAAATTGAGGTGACTGCCTGGAGTGATAGCTCCTGTGGCATCCCCCCTGTCAGCAAACTCACAGGACATTGTTAAGGTGATGCTGTTTACCATCAGCTGCTCTATTTCAGCCAGGCTTAGCTGCTCAGTTGAGCTGAAGATTCTCATGTCTGCTCTGTAGAGCTGGAGGTACCACCCGAGGACAGGGATTCCTTTTGTGTGACTGAGGATACAATTCCACCTTCAGCCTTGTATTATTTGTTATGGTGCAAAAGAGAGGAAAGAATTTGGCTACGTTTAAGAGGTTGAATTTTCAGGACTGGCAGTGAAGTAAAACATATTTCAGCTTGTAAAACTGAGCACACTTGGCAGGGAAGCAGAGAAAGACAATAAACATGGAACCCCGCAATGCTATTTTTACAGTGTGTTTTTCAGAGGAAAAACTACACTTTAATATGTGTGCAACAGCGTCCAGAAGCCTGAAGAATATTGACTTGGGGAAGGGGGAGGACTCTTTTCCTTGTTTCTTAGCAGAAAAAACGGCTCCCCTGAGATCATAATGTGAACAAAGCATTCTTGGAGCAGCACTTGTTGAGAGCGAGGAGTGACCAGCGAGCTGCACACTTGGCTGGTGAGGGAATAGAATTCCATCGGTGGGGAGTCTGGTGGGGAAGAGCAGTTTGTGTCTCAATTAGAGCTTCATAACAAATGTTTAGAACAGGTTTGGTCTCTTCATACAGATGGTGTTTTTATCTAAGGAGGAAAAAAAATACAGGATCAATATAGACCACCATGCTCTGAGTAAAAACAAGCCCAAATTCAGTGAAGTTAAACCATGCGTGTAATCTCGAGTGAATGGATTTTAGTGCCGGAAAAAGTGACTGAAATCCAGAGCCTTCTTTGGAAGGTTTCCATCTTTGGAAAGGAAGCTGAAAGCGTGGTTTGGACAGGGTCACTTCTTTTAAGAAATGATCTGTTTAGTGTACTTTCTAATTAAGTTATTAATTTTTTCATAATTATATAAGTTCGTCCTTCTTGATGCTAGAGATGTAATGAGTGACCTGTTCTGTTTTGGTAGTAAGTAGTGCTTAGTAATTTGCATCTTGAGCAGCACAAAAGTTCTTTGGTACAATGCAGGTTTGGCATAAGATTCATCCTTGGTTCATCACAACTAATTTTCCTGCCATACCTGGAGAGGTGAGATGGGAATTAGAAAACTCCTGCATACTTAAGAGCTCTGTTCCATCCTGATACTGGATCATCTTGTCTCTAAAATACTTGAATTTTGACATAAGCTTTTGATAGAAACTTGTGCAAGAGCACTGAAATGTAGAGTGCAGAGTAATATGTCAGTAATATGGTGATGTTGGAGGAAGTAGTAAATGAGGAATACCCTACAAAATATCCCTTAGCCTTGGGAGTAACTGGGACATGATCATGAGGCTGCAAATCCAAGGACTCAGAAAATGTCTTCCAATATGAGCCCAAATTGTTACCCTACACTACTGAGTGAATTAGCTTCACGTAGATATCAATCTATGGTTGATTAAAATGTTTTATCCAAAAATATTTTGGGTTAAATATACGTCTTCAGGTTCCAGTAGATATAGCACTGTGCAAAATGTTCAGAAATTCATAGTACATGAAGTGTTTGATTTGTAGAAAAGGCCAAGAAGAATGACCTGGATATATAAAAGCAGGATGGCTTGGATAGGCCTCAGGGCTTTGGGGTTTTGTTTTATTTTTTGTGGTTCTGCTTGATGCTTTCAAACATATGAACTTATTTGAAGCTGCTAATCACATATGATTCTTTTCATTCTTTTCCCTCCTCCCCCTTCATATTCTGGATGAATTTTTATCTTTCTGTCTCATTGCTTTTCATAGTGATTAGTTGGTTCACTGTGATTTTTATCATATTCATTCCCTGTTTGAATTACCCTTCAGTATGCAATTATCCTATCATAGATTGTCCTATTTTTGTTCTGTCAGATACATAAGATAAATGGAAAACTGAAAGTACCAAACCAATTATATAACCTTTTGTCATCTACTTACTGATGGAAAACCTTGCAAGCAGCATTTCCCCCCCCTTCTCTGCAGTGTTCACTATTTACCTTGGGTTTATATCACTTCAGGATATTCCTGTTAACCATTTCCTTCCTAATGCTGCCCACATGATTGAATTTCAGACAGGCAACTTTGTATTTTATTTTGGAGTATTTGTGACATGAATTAGTTTAAAATCCATGAGCTGTGGTTTTGATTCTATCAAATTTTGTTGGTTTTTGTTTCTATCTGTGACAAAGGTAAATGTATCCATTTACTTTTAATATTATGATGCTTAAGATAGGGAAAATCTTACTGCCCATAAGGTGACAGACACAGAAATGTTTCCTGCAGTGTTCAGTAGTTGTTTTAATTTTACAGCCAAACACAAATAATCCCTTTGAGACCCTTGTGTGGTCTGCTGCCACTTGAGGTATTGCTGCTTTTCCTGAACTTCTAGTTATTTCACTCACAGGAAGTTTGTTGATCAGTATTAAAGTTACCTGTGATTTTTAAAAAGAAATTTAATTTTTAGAAGGTTTTATGACACTTTAGTGACTTTACTAATTTGAAAGTAATCAGGAATGAAGCACTGTGACATAATGCTCAGTAACAAATGACCATGGCAACAAACTTGATAGTGAAAAAGTAGTGGAGTCAAAATTGTTCATTTGGTGCTCTTACTTTTCCTAGCTATTGGCATATTGGGAAAAAATTGAAGGCTAGAGGGAAGAGAAAAAGATGGCAAAATGAAAGATAACCAAGTTATTAGGGAATATTTGAAAAGCTATCATTATAACTTTAGCTTTATACTTAAATTTTTATTTTCATTAATATTTCCGTGCAAATAAAGAGGTGCTATAAAAATGATTGTTGATTCACTGCTAAGGTGGCAAATCAAGTGTTAAGGATGGTCTTTCTTTAAGGCAACTACACTTGCTGCAGTGGAAAATGCAAATAAGAGGCTTCTTTTTATTAACTTTTCCTACTATAGTTACCTGGTGTTCATTGTGAAGCTGATTCTCATTATAACTGTACTGTGAAAAGTAATTGCTGTTGTACAGTAATTCAATTTCAGTGCATTCATGCATCAGTAAACCAGCGGGGTTTATCTGGAGAAACCTGGGACTCTAAAGCTTTTTATCATGAAATTCCACATGCAGACAAATGTTCTTCCAAGGAGTAGAATATCAGCATTTACATTTAACAAACATTTGCAGTGAAGAGAAATGGATTTTTTTCCACTGATGATTTTTACACCAGTCTTTAAGCTTTTTTAGGATACTATTATGCTGATACTGTTTATGCACAGTTAAAGTGATGTTTGTGCTTAGTCATGTACATATGTGGTGTGCACATTTTAGTGTGCACGTGCATATTTGTGTGGGTATAGATCTTTAGGTGTGCATTTTGAGGTTTATATGTGCAGCATCAACAGATTAAATTTACTGTTGTTTTTCTGCACATATATGTACATACATACAAAGTATTAAGCAACATGTACTGCATTCAGATATTTCCAAGCAAATTCTGGTGAATTGGTGTCCTGGTCAATAAATTAATTTTTATTTAAAGTGATGTGTTAATGAGTGCAAAATTAACTTGATTTGATGAGCACAAAGGTCACAGTAAGTAATTAAAAGTTGAGAGTGAAAGTTATTAAAGTGTACTTCTTTATTCAAAGAACCACAAAATATTTCCATACAGTATATGAAAGCCCAGTAAAAAATTCATACTGAATACAGTAGTCAATAATTGTAGCTTTTATTTACAAACCACCTCTAAGTACTTTAATCTTTCCTTGAGTGTACTTGGAATTTAACTTATTTTTAGTGTGCAACTTAGTGGTGACTTCATTCCTATTCAAGGCAACAGTGAGGAATATTCCAGGTGAATTTTGAACTGATTTTATTTTATTTTTTTTTTGAGACTTTTAAATGTGCAGTGGCTTGAATACCCACTGTATATTTTATTGCACTGTATTTTCATTCTGATTTTCTATCACTGATCAACACTAGATCGGGAATGGCATTCTTGAGAAGCAAACAATCATTCATATTTTATATTCATATAATATAAAGAGATCTTTAATGTCAAAACATATTACTTTTCTAGGCTCACTATTTGAAAGATAGAATAAACTAAGTTCCTTCATTGAGCTAATTTGCATCTGTAGAATTAGAAGGAAAATGGATATCAATGTGCATTCCTTACAGCTGCAGCTCAATGGGGGCTGTATTGACCCCTG